AAAAGTAGAGAAATGATAAGGATGAGATCTTAGCCTTTGATTGATAAATCAAAGACTAAGATCTCTTTATTAGGAGATATTAGGAACACTATGTATTAGTAGAGGATCCTAATATTCTTTTCTTGGTCATCACTCTCCTCGTCAAATGATTAGGTAGCAAGATGGGCGTAAATGCCATGGACAATGTCTAAGTCTTGATGAATCATGATGGATGGCCAATTGGCTCAAGACATCGCTAACATGAAACAATTCTTCAAGAGGGGGCCATCACTCGCCCCCATTATGATTTATGATCCCTCATGCTAGCGTTACCAGCTACTAGTGTGCTTGAAATTATTTCATTTTGTACTACTATATTTATGAGAGGCACCTACCTTCCAAAATCCAAATATCGTCAAAATTTTGTATTTTATTTGAAAGAGGATACCAGTTGAAATACTACCCATACTAATTAGGAAGTACTATATTTTTCGGATTTGCATACCAACACAATGACTGCGGATAAAAAATGTTACCCCACGTTCCGTATGAAATACGAGCTTGGCCAACATTAACGTTGGCATTCGGATCCTTTCGATTATATTTTTCGACGGTGAAAAACTACAAATTTAGTTATATGTTGAGGGTGTTCATAGGGTGACGACTCATTTCTAATTTAGTTAACGGTGTACTTCTCATAAATTGCATTTATTTCCCTTTTTTTGTTCAAATGAAAATCCAAGCACTGATACATGATAAAGATTTATGATTGAGAAAGCGAGTTTATACCGTTTAAAGCGTGAAGAGAATCCTAATCCATGCTTTTTTTTTCTTTAATTAAAAAGTACTTTGATTCAATTCATGTATCATGTAGCAAACGCTTACACGTACATCTGCCAATTATAGATTGTAAATACAATTACGTGAAACCAAACAAAACCTACAAAATCTAAACCTTAATAAGCTGATCATTAGCCATTGTATTTTTCTCATAGTTGGATGTTTATACCTAAGTTTTAATTGCTTGGATGAACGATCATATAATTAAATACTAATTAAATTGTTAGTCACGTCTAAGGCTTTCTATCAATTTGAGTTATATTTCATTTATTTTTAAGCAATATAGTTTACTGATCTATATGTCACGAGTTAATATTTTAAAAATAGAATGCTAAATACAACAAAAATTCTCCAATACAAGTTGCTAGGTGTGTCACAAATTTCATTCCCATAAGTAATCAAGATATTACACATATGAATAAATCTGTTATGTCAAATAATTAGGACTTTAGATATCACATTAGCTAAGATCAATTAAATTAATTAATAGAAAATATTAGAAATAATTAAAAATAATTAATAATCTAATTAATTATTTAAGTAAATAACTAGTCATCCAAGTAATCATGCTTTCTTTAAAGCATGAGTTCGGAAAAAAAATTCTTGGTCAATGTTATCCTTCACTTTTTAAAATATTTTATTTAAATCTTAATCTACCATAATCATAATTGTATCCTATCTTAATCACATGTGAACTACCTATAGCTCAATAATTAAAAAAATAAGATTAATAAGTTACATGAAATATTACAATAATAATAAAAAACTCAAACAGTTTTAAAAATTGTACAAAATACTCTCAAATATTCAAAATTATACAAAACACCATTACATATCAAAACTTAAAATAACAAACATGAGATTTGGAATTAACAGTATCCTCTAAAAAAAATTAAATTTATAATTAACACCCTCAATATTTTTAAAATTATAGAAACACCCTCAAAATTTTAAATTATAAAAAAAAACACCCTCAAAACTTACAAACAACATAGATGAATTATAAGGATTACCATCAAACTTCAACACAGATTCCCCTTTCTCCACCATAAAAAGCTTTTTGTCGCATCAATTAAGCCTAAAGGATGATAAAGAAAGATAATACATGAATTATTGTCAAAACACTAAATTTTTTTAAAAATTTCACAAAACACCCTCAATAGTTCAAAATTACACAAAACATCTTAACTTTTCAAACTTAAAACAAAAAACATAAAATTTAGAAATTAGCAATAGCCCCCTAAAATTTAAAATTTGCAAATAACACTCTCAAAGTTTCAAATTTTGTAGAAACACGCTCAATAGTTTAAAATTACAAAAAGTCGTAAATTTTAGAAAATATATTGATAGATTAAAATTTTAAAATCATTACCTAAATAAAAGTAATTGCATATAATTTTACTTATAAGTTGGAGTATCAAGAATACAGAGATAACATTAATTGATAGAAGACTAAAACCGCTTAAATTTGATAAAAGACTGTAATATAATAGGTTAGCATTAATTGTTTATATTTTATAAACATTATTCTCTGATGTTAGTAATATTCAAAGGGTAAAAAATGTATTCTCTGATGTTAATAATATTCACAGGGTAAAAAACTACAATGAGTTACATATGGATAAACTATTAAAAAGTTCAGAGATATTCTTCAAAAGGATCTAGATGTTTTAATTAAAAATGGAAAAGTGAACGAAATTAACCCAAAATTCCTAAACTTACATGAATCACTTGAATTGATATTAACAAGAGATATATCTATCAAAGAAGCGTTAACTAGTTTCACATTGGATAACATATTAAACAATTTTTTTCCAATCCAAAAGTATTTTCCATAGAAGATACAAGAAATATTAGTAAGTCTTATAAATTTTTATATTTCATTCTTCTAACACTAAAATACTCATAAACTTATTATATAATTAGATATAGATGACATAGCAATAGCAATTAATGTGAAGCTATTGATCAACTATATTACGATATATAACGAACCAAACAAGAGAAGGAAAATCACTATAATTGACAAAAGGTACCCACATAATACTTACTTAACAAACCACACAAAAGGTGGGAAATCACTATAGTGGACAAAATATATACACATGACACTTACTTATCATAACTCAATAAAAAAATAAAATCGATATTTTTTCTTTTTACTATATAGTGGCATCATCTACGTGTAACTTTATTTAAGAACATGACAATGAAAAGGGATCAATTCTTTATAACATGATCAAAGATAAGCTCATAATAGCATTATCGGATTTCATTATCTTTAAATATGAAGATAATATATTTCATTACAAAAATTCTTATTAAAGGTCACTAAACATAAACTTCACCTTATATCCATCTCAAATTTGCTGGGAAGATGTACACATCATCGCAATTTTGCATCACATATATACATATATATATAGAGAGAGAGAGAGAGAGAAATAGGTATGCTTAGTACTAAACACAAATTTTGTGCTTGGTAGTGAGGTGGCATAATCTCATTCACTCATTCAAGTAGGGGACCACATTCACATGGGTTGAGGTGTGCATGAGGATATGCAACTATTCGAATGAGTGAAGGGGATTATGCCACCACACTACCAAAAGACGAAAGCATCTCCACCAAGGCTCTTTACAGATGCAACAAAAATTTAATTTAGCAATATTATGCGAGCATTACAACATTTTAAAGAGGTGTTATCTTAAAAAACCTACTCTATAATTCACACAATTAAATCTAGTTAAAATTTACCAATGTACAGATATACTATTGAACATTTAAGGTAAAAATAACTACCAATTATAGTAGACTTGAGCTATAGCTTTATGTTTGCAAAGGGCGCAACAAGCAGGTGGATATAGATGTTAATAACGAGTGTCCAAATGATAAATACTGTAGAATTTCTTATGACTTAAGACATTGTAAAGGTAACACTATTTGACGCAATAGAAACTCTTATTTGGTGCACAACAAAAGAATTCATTGTAAAGAAAAATAGGTCAATCCTAACTTAAATAATGAATTAGAAACACCAAAAATTTATCATATATATGAATTAATATTTATTCTCATTCAAATTACTTGTAAAGTTAAATGAGAAGATAAAAGATAAATAAGCCTAGAGAAAGATAATAGCACGAGAAATACAGGTCCAGACCGATGCCACAATTGTCTTAGATGATGAAGTCATCACTCTAAATTACTCTAGAAAAAGATAAAAGTGAAGATGGTTTGATCTCGGCTCAATAAAAAATAAAACATAAAGAATAATAGTCAATATTTTTTTAATATTTTATAGAATAGCCTAATTTTTTGAGTAAAATTAGAAATATTTGGCAGAGATTTTCATGAATTTTAAATTATTTTTATATACTTATTTTGTGGACATTTTATCATATAAAACTATAATAGAGTTAGCATTAATATTTAGTTTATGGTTTTAAATGAAGTCTATCAATGATTAGAAATAAAATTCATATTCTCTTTTGTGTAATTTTAGCCATTTCTAATCAATTGTCTAGGCTTATTAGCTTTAATTATTTCTCTTGCTATTACAATGCTATTTTTTTAAGTTTTTTTACTTTTGCAACACTATACTTCTATATGTAAAACTTCCTTTCATGCCGATTTAAATAATATGAATATTTAAATTATATTTATGTTGGTTTCATGTCAATTCAATTATCAATATGAAACTTAAAATTGGGTGTAGCACCTCGAATCATTGATGAATAATCATAATATTAAATTTTAGAGACTAAGTGAGTAAATGTATCAAATTAAGATGGAAGAATAAATTTTAATAAAAAAATAAACTAAAATGAATAATTATGATATTTAATCACATATATTTCATATGACGTGCAATGCGCCCGTGCATAAAAACTAGTTAAAATATAGGTACGAGCCTCGAATCCGGAGATAAATACGATGGCTAATAATCGAATTTGCCCAATAAACCGCGACTTACCTCAAACCAAACCCGAGCCCATAAAAGCCCATAGGCCGTTACGGGCTCCCCAGTCCACAACCTACATCCAACACCGCAGCCCTCCCCGGCCGCTGCCGCTCTAGGGTATTTTCGTAACTTAACTCCCACAATCATTTCCACAAGCGAAATAAACCCCGGCCTCGCGTCCGCACATATAAAAGAGCAGCTGTTAAAGCGGAAAGCTAGAGGGAGGGGAGAGTGGGAAAGAGACAGCTGAAGAGTGGGGAGGGGGCAAAAGGAAAAAAAAAGAGAGAGAGAAAAAAATAATGGAGCTGAGAAAGGGGGAAAAGCCAAGGGGAAAGTTGACAGCGAAAGGGTTTTAGGTTTTCTTTTCGTAGCGGAATCGGTCCAGGGATCCGATTTCAGAATATCGAGTTTAGGTACTTTTCTGGATCTTTTTTCGGTTTCTGATTTCTTTTAGAATGCTGCTGTTTGTTTAATTTTTGGTGATTTGGTGGAGTTAGGGGCGAGAGATTGAGCTGAATGCTAGGGTTTTCATGAAAGTAGATGCTTAGTGGGGATAGTTTCGTGTGATTTTTCTGGAAAAATTACCGAAAGTTATCTTTTTTATATGTGAGATCAGGTAAAATTTCTGTATATAGAAGGTTCAGTTTCAGGAAATGTGTTTTTTTTTTGAGAGAGTTTATGTTATTGTTGGGGTTCAGAAACGGGAAGGACTGTAATTAGATGCTTTTTCCTTTAGTTTTTTTAGTGGTAGGGGGACTTTATATGATTTTTTTTTTAAATTTAGGACGAAGTACCAAGTTTGTCTTTTTTAGATGAGATCAGGTAATGTCACTGTATATAGGAGGTTCAAGAAAAGGTGTTCTCAGGACTTACTATACGTTTAGTTTCAGAAAAAAGTGCTCTCAGGGATTTGCTATAGTGTGAAGGGGACTTAAACAAAATTGGTTTGCTTTCAAGAGTTTATGTTTCAGGAAAAGGAGAGGCTAGTAATCAAGAGTAAGAGGCTAGTAATCAAGAGTAAGAAGGGCTGAATACGAGTATAATGGATCTGATCAGGATGTATATATGGTACAATTCTCATGGATACTCGTAGGATACTTGTTGGATGTCTCTTTAGAATTCAATGACCAAATTTAGTTTCAAAATGGTGTGTATATATAGATTAGATTCTTATTGGGTGTGTTTTGGTTATGGATTGCATACAATATTAAGTTTGAGAGCATGTTTTTATTATTTTACATATTTATTTATGTGTGAAGAATTTCATAGTTTTTTCATGATGGAGTTGTAGTTCTTTAGAGATGACCATTTTATGTTATCCTATCTATGAAGAATTTGTATCCTTGCATACCCGTGTATGCACGTATCCTGTGTACAGACAACCTAGGTAACCATTCAATATTTATGGAATGGTTTCTTCAATGATTTTCAGAAGAACTTCAACAAACGAACATGTATTTCTTTTTCCAGTATTTAGTAGCCATATGAGATGAAATACACATGATATTCTCTGGCCTAGTTTCTCTAATAACCTTTGAAATAATTCCATAAAAGAATATGGATTGTTTTGACTATGTATGAGCATTATCAAGGCAAAGGAAAGCTAAAGCCAATGAGATTAAATTTGATTTAAAGCATGAGAAAAAAATAAGAAAATATAGATAATGGGAAGAAGAGATATGATATAGAGATCTATAAGCAGAACTTTTAACTTGGTTAATCTATGCTAGAGGCTGACAATAGGGTTCAACATGTAGAGTAGCATATTCATAGACACCGCATACTATTTACAGCAGCAGCTTAACATCACTGACGATACTTTTTGGTGGATCCAAGGGTCCAACTGAATTCTAGGATCCAGTGACCTTAGTCATTTTACAATGAACCTCTTATACATTGAGTGATCTCTAAAAAAGACCTAATTATAGGAAGTTGATAATAGACTCCTAAAGATGAAATAAACTAGTTAAAGCCTTAAAGGAAAGCTTTAACCTAAGATAATAGTCAAAAGGTGCCGGTTGAAACTTAAATCTAACTAATCCTTAATCATCGCTTTCATGAGGGACAATTGTACGTGAATTGAATTGGCTACGGATTCTTATCCTAATAAATACAGTAATAACATTCTTTCCATTGCCCAACTAATTAACCTGGCAAGGATCTAAGCGCATTTAGAAGGTATAGGTATATTTAATTCCCACTTCCGAAAATAATTATCTTGGTAGCAATTATACACTATTCTTGGTGTTAGCATTTCCTCTTTATGGATCAGCGTCATGCTGGCTGAGAGCAGTAAACTTTTTGACCGTCATCTTTAGTTATATTAATGTATTTATTACTTATTTATATCTGTTTATTTTGTTTGTTTTCACCAAAGTGTTTATTTTTCCCTTTTGGGTGATTTGATTGCTGTTTTGGTCTATGGAACAGAGATAGATGAAAGAAGAATCTCGTGGTGGCAGCTCGTCACACATGGTAAGGTCAAGAGCTCGGGATACATACACTTTGTAGCACTCAGGCATCTTCTTCATTTCATATTATGAGTTTGCTTGATATTCCTCTCTTTTACATGTGCGCTTTAAAGCATGCTCAAATTTTCGATTAAATCTTAGTTTCTTAGTTGTAATTTGGTTTACAGGGTGTTCCATTTAATTCTGAGAATTTCAGGCGTTCTTCACTAACTAATTGAGTATCTTGGAGCACTTCTTAATTGGTTATACATGTTAACAAAAGGTTGAAAGAGTATGGAGCATCTTGAGCATCCATCTACTGTTTCTTATATCCTGGGTAAGTAGGAAATATTTTTGTTTCCTATCTATTTCTGTCTTCAATAATGTTCCATTAGATAAAATCCTTTTGCCAATATGTTAGCTTTAGGAGTTACTATGGATCCACAAAAGGAAAGATGGCTCTATTTTACCAGTACGTAATGTTTATTATGACCAAGAGTTGCTCAGTCTTGTCTTCTGGGTCATTGTTTGTAGATCTTTCTAAATCTGGTATACACCATTTTTTAGATGCAAATGATCTCTATGATAATATGTTATAATTAAATGACATCTATCTTCTTGTCTTTTCTCGATAATTGATACTCCAAATATGCAGGAGCGTATTAGCCCGGTTAACAAATATCACTCTTTTAGTTTCTTCTCTTGTAGTAGAGTTTATTCTGTAGGGTAATTCTTTTTCAACAAAACCATTCTAATGTATTTATCATAAGTCTGTAGTGAAACAGTTGAAAGAGCATATGTCTTTGCAAGATAAGTAATACCTCTTAATTCTTTACTCTATTTGGCATAAAAGTTCCTCCTTGGTTGCATGACCCTAAACTGCTTGACCTTACGTGCCAATTGATCTTCTTGAGTCATGCCAAGCCTCTTTCTTGGGATGAGGAGATCACTTAGCTTAGCTTCAAATGCTTTTAGTTGACATTCTTGAAACCTGTCAAACTGTGACAGTTCAGCAATCACTTTGTTATATGAGAACGATTTAGTAATGATATGTCTATATTTCATGGTTAACATTTCTTAACAATTGTCTCCTTGTTTTCCACATTTTGTGAGATCCCCTTATTTTCTCATAAATGATCATTTTCTTTGTCATGATTAAATGCTAGTCCTATTTTTATTGCAGGGGCCTTACATTACCGGTTTCTGATGCTCACAGTTTGGTTGTGCTGTTTCAAAGGCTTAACTTGTCAGAAAACTGTAGTTGAACCCAAGGCGCATGTTCCTTATAAATTTGAACTGTCTGATCCTCCTATTGGGCTTTTCGACCCCATAGAAATTTCTCCTGCAGTTGTTCCGCGTAATCCATATCCCGTGGAACCAATATCACCAATGTATCCTTCCTTTCCTGGCACATATGAGCCAATATTGACTGGGAAATGCCCCATAAACTTTTCTACGATTTCAAATATTATAGACAAGACAGCTTCCGATTGTTCTGCCCCATTAGCTGCTCTTGTTGGAAATGTGATCTGTTGCCCCCAGGTTAATAGTTTACTGCACATTTTCCTAGGCTCTTACAGTGGTCAATCTGATGCCCTTGTTCTCGAACAAGCTGTTGCTGATGATTGCTTTTTAGATATTATAAGCATATTGGCCAGCAGAGGAGCGAATAGTAGTATCCCTACACTTTGCTCAGTGAAGACCTCAAATCTTACCGGTGGATCTTGTCCTGTAAAGGATGTTGCTTCATTTGAGAAAATAGTCAACACTAGCAAACTACTAGAGTCCTGCAGTACTGTGGATCCGTTGAAAGAATGTTGTAGGCCTCTCTGTCAACCTGCAATCATGGAGGCTGCAATGCACATTTCATCAAATGGATCCAGCAGTCTTGACAGTTCTGGCATACCTGGGAGCTCTGCTGGAATTGATTCTGTCAATGACTGTAAGGCGGTTGTTTATGCTTGGCTTTCTAGGGAGCTTTCATCAGAAGATGCTAATACTGCATTTCGGTTATTATCTAACTGCAAAGTCAACAAAGGTACATAACCTTTTCCACCTTACCTGTATGCATGTTCAATTGTTTGGTTGTATGTGGCCGATACAGTGTTCGGAAAAACATAATGTAAGCGTTAGTAGTTTGATTCTACTTTTTCCTATTTGTGATTTATGATTGGAATCTTTGATAGTGATGAAAGCATCAAGAGGTTCTTTTATAACCTAAAATAGGACAAAAGCATTGGAGTTCCATGTGAATGGACAAAAGGTTCTTGTCTGTAGAAGTCGTCCCGTTAATTCACCTCTTGACTATTGAGGACTTGAAGGTGTCATTTAATTCTCACAGACTGAGATTACTGTGGTAGATAAGCTGAGTCTACTTCTGTAGATGAAAGTGGTCCATTTGTAAATAAACGAAGTCTTGTCTACTCCATTCCAGGAAAGTCTGAATAAAATCGGCAGTTAAGGCCCATAAGAAAGTTAAATATGGTCTATGAGGGGAAAAAATTTCGTGTCCAGACTACAGCAAGTTTAAACCTTTAAAGATGGAATGACTTATGGGGCAGTATATCCTTTAGGAGATTAATCTCAGTTATTTATTTATAATTTATGTTTATGTAGCTGGTTGGTATTTGAGACTGAACATCAGCTTCATCAGGTTTTATTTCATTGGAAGGTATCTTCTATTTTGATCAACTTATTTTCTTCAACAGACAAAAGAAAGATGGACTTCAGACAGGCTTTCAGTGCCATTTTGGATTTTAGAATTATTAAAACTTGAACTTGTTTGTAAAAGGTGAACATATGTCTTGTTAAAATTATCACTTTGTGGGCTAATACCGTAATAGAATATTAAAGTAAAAGATCTGCTTTGTGTGATGCCTGAGAAATAGTTTGTTGTCTATTATTCACTGACATTTAATCCACCAAATTCTAGTTTGTCCACTGAAGTTTGAAGATCCTTCAAGCGTAATCAAAGAATGTCGTGCTTTGGCTGCTCCAAATCCTTCCTGCTGTACCTCCTTAAATGCATACATCGCAACAATACAAAAGCAAATGTTAATAACAAATAGGCAAGCAATCAATTGTGCGACATTGTTTGGCTCCATGTTGCAGAAAGGCGGTGTTATGACAAATATATATGAGCTTTGCGATGTTGACTTGAAAGACTTTAGTCTTCAAGGTACATTTCATACTCTTTGACCTTTAATTTTTTTATTAGTAGTTGAAGTTCTTTATTCTGCTGCATAAATCTGATTTTTTTTTCTTTCCTTCTTTGTTAAATGTGCCTACTACTTTTGTGATTGGGGCAGCTTATGGGCAACAAGGTTTGAATTTACTGTCACTATATTCATTCTGTTACTGTTTGTTTAGTTTTCAAATTAACTGGTTTGCTGATAACCCTTCTTTGACCTTCAAACTGAATACAGGCTGTCTTCTTCGGAGCTTGCCAGCAGATGTTATATTTGACAATTCAACAGGCTTTAGTTTTACATGTGACCTGAGTGACAATATTGCTGCTCCATGGCCGTCGTCATCCTCGATATCTTCGCTGTCTCTTTGTGCCCCAGGTGATTAAGCTTCAGAGTTGGTACTTTTTATATTATCGCTTGTTGCATATATATGGTTGCAAAGGTCAACCAAATGTAGTTGTTTATATAGTCGCTCATGAATATTTTTAGGAGTTAATATTTTCTTGTCTCTCCTTTTCTTGCATCTTGCAGAGATGTCCCTACCTGCAATGCCGGGGCCACAAATGTCAGGAGGATCTGGTATGCTGTTTTCATGCCCTTACTACTATTTATAGAATCTAATGACACCAGTTTTGCTTCTAGGCTCCAATTCTTTATGTAACATGTATATGTATGCACGTGTAATATGGAGTGGAATTGTGTACCATTCTTTGTATTGTTGTGGAGGTTTCTATCAATTGATACTCTCTGGGAGGTTCCATAGCTGGATTTAAATCAATTAATTTGGTCAGGGTGTTTTGAGTCTTTGGGAAATATGGCTATCCATATTATATATTTCTGATGGTAATTAGGTCTGAATAGTCTGAAACGTTAAAAAAATGAAAACTCAGGATAAAGGAAAAATTGTATATCCTATAAGTTCCTTCTAAGTGTATGAATATAGTCCAATTGTTTGCTTAAGAGGTATGCAGGATTATGGCGTTGCCAAAGACAAGAGTTTGAATTAATTAATTTACTTAAAGGTAAGTAGTAATTGACAAAATAATTAAATTAATTCATCTGAATATTCAGTAAGTAGTTTAACTAGTGCAATAAAATATACCCAAGGAAAAGATAAGTAGTTTAAACTAATTTACTGAGCTATTAGGCAAATGCAGGACATCACACATGCAATTATATTGTATTACTAAATGGCATTTGGGAAAGGAAATTTCTGAGATAGAGACATCCATAGATGCTTTAAAACCTAAAAAGTTTGCAATGAACAGAACAAACAACGGATGAAAAAATTGCACTCCGAGTTCTTTGATGTAAACAAACAAATCAAGTCTGACGAAATTCTAGTTTAAATAAAAAAATTCGATTCTAAAATTTCTTAGAACCTGAAAGTTTGAAAAGATTTGCTGATATCTAAAATTAGTATCTATCGTTTACCTTATTCTATTATCTAAATGTAAAGTATTCTTGAAAAAGTTACTAAAATAATAATTTGAATGATTTATTTATTTATTTATTTATTAACATCAAGCTTTTGCCACTTATAATATATTATAATTTTTTGCAAGGTTTTAAATGTCGGCCGACATGTCGGTTTGAGGGCTTGAGCGACACGACATGAGCGTTTTCAAGTCGTATATCGGTTTTCAGGCCAAATCGGAAATATCGGGGCCATATTGAGCATATCGACCGATTTTTCAGCTTTGAAAAATCGGCTTATATGACCCTTTTTTAGATATATTTTTTGTTATCGGATTTCGATTTAGTAATAAAAACCCAAACCCGTTTGACTTGTTCTCATGTTTAAGGGTTTTTTATAAACCCGATAGAAAGAAAAGAAAAAAATTAGGGCTGCAGGGGATTTGGGAACCCATCACTCCTTTTGTGAATGACGACGCCCTTTCCCCACCTCAATCTCAGCCCCCCATCATCTCATCTCTCGTTACGCCTCAAAATCCGAACCCCAATCGAACCCAAGGGCGGCAGAGTATCCCGTCATTGGGATAAAGGGAAGAGGGTGGTCGGTGACTCATCCGAAGGACCCCGAGCAGACGAAGAAGAAGAGCCCCGACACTGCCTCCCTGCGACGTCGGAATGCACCCATCGTCTGTGTCACCTCTAGAATTTAATTTATAAAGTATGTTTATATTGAATTTAGGAATGCTTAGATTATATTTAGGACATGATATTATATATATGAGCACCACCCGATATGGCAATCCGATATTTAGTCCATGTCCCCCGATATATCCCCGATTTCCGCTATCCGACATGGATTTCAGTCGTCCGACATGAACCCGACATCCGACATTTAAAACCTTGATTTTTTGTATAAAGTTATGGAGTTGTTTACATATTTTTTCCCTTTACAAGTGACTTAAAATATTATGGAGGAAGTGTAAGAGAAGTGTCTATCAGTCTCTCTATTATCTCATCAATACATAGAATACAATAGAGGGTTTGTGAGCCTCTTTTTCCTCTTACCTTCTATCAGTGCAAAACAATTAGTTGGATAGTTATTAGACCAGGAAGAGGCTGAATAAATTGCACTCACGTGGTGGCTTGAATACCAAATTTGAACAACAATTTTATTCTAGCAAACAATTGTTTTATTAATGGATGCTAGAATCGTATGTTTTTGCATTTATATCAGAAATAAGCTAATTGATTTAACACGCTAAGGTACATTCATCCAACCAGATACAGACTTGGTTGATTGTTTTGGACCTTCACTTTTCTAGTTATCATCTAGACTCAGTGTGAGAATTTAAAGTTATGTCACTTATAGTTTCCAAGTTTGGGCTATAAGTTTGGGCAAGACTTACAGATGAGCATTGTCTGCATTCATTTGATTTGTCTTTCTTAGCTGAGCATGATGCCCTGTTTGGTTGACTGGTTCAGACAAGTTACCATGAAGAAGCAAGTTTATTGAACATGAAAATGAATAACATACACTTTTTCAATTCGTTCTTTACGTAAGATGTTTTCCTTTCTGATACTTTTAATTTTGTTGGTTTTAACAATTTTCTAAAGAAGCAAACCCATACTGTATTTTGGTATGTACTATCATCTCTGAAAACATTTAAAACAAACCATTTTGCTAACACAAGGATCAAAGTCATTAAAGCTTAGGTAGATTTCGAAGGTTGAGTTGTTGATAATATTCATTATTAGACAGTGTGTGTGTGGATGTGTGGGGTGCATGTGGTTGGTTGTGCATGTTTTTGTTAGGGTTTTAAAAGCGGCCCAATTGCGTTAGTGGCACCCTTCCGCAATGAGTCGACCACTAGTGGTTATAAATTGCAGCGAAACTATGTTTTGCTTGAAATTGCGGTTAAAAGCATGTAAAAGCGCTTAAAAGCGATTTTACTCGCTATTAGTTAATTAGGTTTTTTAAAAAAACCTGATCTGAACACTATATTAACCTGACCCATTTTACTAAGACCCTAACACTACTCGCTTCTAACCCTAACCCTAACCTCTCAATCTCACCTCGCTTTTGCTCTCTGCTTCTAACCATAGTCTCTCGAGCTTCATTGCTTCCCTCCACGAGCTTCACTGCTTCCCTCCATCATCTCTGCTGCCTACCCGTACGCCAAATCCTCATCTCCTCTGACTCCTCCGCTGCCGAAGCTTCATCAGCCACCACCTTTCAGATCTCCTCTCACCATCTCCTCTTGTCTTCACCTCTCGACGAAGCTTCAGCAGCACTGAAGCTTCAGCCCTCCACCGCTAGATCAGCCCCCGTGGCAAGGTTTGGCAGCCTAAATCAGCTCCTCAAGCTGCAGCCCTCTGACAGTCCTCCACCGTCTCGATGTTGCAGCATTTGCATCAAGCTCAAGGTAAATATCTCGAGCAAGCTGGACCGCTATTTGACTTTGTGTTTTTTGCTGCTATTTTGCCACTATAGCCCCTAAATAATCTTAGTGGTCTCACCGCTACGCGACGCTTGTGTATGCATGTATAAGTCATCAATCAATCACATTAATGATAACAAACCAAAATCCTTGAAACGTTAAGCTTGCGAGACTCAATTATGAGTAAGAATCAATAATTTATATGACATACGCGAACAATATTATGCATCTGATTGACAATAGGTTAAGAAACTAAAGTAAGTCGAAAATATAGTGGAATATTTGGAAGTTAATACTATCTTTGGTAGATAATTATACCTTAGCAGATGAGTAAGGTAACTTTTTGATGAAAATGTATCTTCAAGTTTATCAGTACATGCTATAGTATTAGATCATTCATAATAAGAAGACTAGACAAGGGTCGAGAAACTAGAATAGACCCCTAACATGGTGACTAAAGTAGAACGAAGAGAGAACCCCACGTGAGAAATATTTGTTTGTTGAATATCGGATCTCCCTTGACCCAGTCCTTTGCTTTGTCATTCAGTTAGGCATTTGCTGCAAGCTAAATTAGTTTTTTTATAAGTGAGAGAAAACTAAAATAATGTGCAATGTTGATCTTTATTTTTACTACAAAAAAAGAGGTTTGGTGAGCTATATATTAAGGTGTAAAAAGTTCTTGGAGATGTGAGGGGAAATCAAACAAAAAGATTTGCAGGGAAATTTTTTTTGTTGCCTAATCAAACAGCCATTAAACACCTAAAGTAAAAGTACCTCATAGGAAATGATAAAGAAGGGAAACCTTAAAGATAGATTGGTGGAATTTTCAAGTCTCATGCACACCAGTTTAAAAATCCTTAATGCCTAAACATATGTCCCCATGGTAGTTCGTGTAACGATGGATAAAGTTTATATCAACCCAATCATTCTACACTTATGTTTACCTAAACACTAAAAGATGTCATTTTAATTATGTTAAGTATTAAATGGATCAATAACATAAAGGTGTAAATAAGTAAGATGTTGTGGCATATATCGCCAATTCTATGGGATTGATTCTATGTTTAGAAAGAATCTCAGATCGGATAGGGTTACTAGGCAACTATGTTATCTGGGTACTTCTAATCTGAAGTCGTACTCCTACCCGTACCAGCCTGTACTCGTATGCAAACTCCTTGGACACTCTTTTGCGTAAATGCGTACATTTATTTGGGCATATACTCAATTATACGATGCTTGTTTTCTTTAAAACACTTGTCATACATTTTCTGGACACATCCTATACTTCACATCTATTTCTTGAAACTTATTGGACATAGTTAGGTTCCGTATTATGATTTTGAAGGGTCATTTGGATGTCTAGTTCAAAAACTAGTGATTTTTCAATTTTTAACCCACATAATACGAGAAACATAAAAATGTTATAGGAATTTTAGTTCTCATCCTTGTTCTCATACAAATTACTAGTTCTAGTATATAATATATATGTAGACAAATATTTATATAGCAGTGTCGCCGAACCCTACTTTTACAAATTTGACGTGTCTTGTACCCATACCCGTACCCGTACTCATGCGACATAGGTTACCAACCTCGAGGGGTAGTTCGTGATATGCTGACGCACCTGGAGTTCGAGCGAGAATGAAGGCTTTGCACGACCTCCCCTTCGTCAAATCTGTTTGCAAAGATGTGGTACCACTGCCTCTATGGTCGCTAAGAGAGAGAAATATAAACACATTAGTCATCATTTTTGAATTTCTGTGTAAATCCTGCATGTCAGGAAAAATCTCATCCTAATGGTGACAAGGTTCTTGGGTTTAACTCAATTCCTTTTAAATATAGTAGCTGATTCAATTTAGTTTTTTTCTCTTTTTATTCCTTGGGTGAGGTGCATAACTTGGTAGATAATGGGAATTTTGAGTTATTTAAGTTTTTTCTTGAAGCATGCCCCTCAAGTTAATTTGTAGCATAGTATTTTGTGAGGACATTTCTATTTTTTTTTAAATTGACTCGTATGGGATTAGAACCAAAAGTTGCAACTAAAACTCTTAGCTTTTCTTAAATAATAGTAATCATAATAGATAAGTAAGAAGGTGGGAAATTTTCACAAATATAGATTCATTGAATAATTCTCATAAATACACATTGAATATTTAGGACAGGCAAGCGTTTCCTGGATAGGTCAAAAGGTGTTACTTTTTACCTCTATCTAGCATTGATAGTAACATTGCAGTATTTGTCAGTTTACTGACATTAGCTACATTATAGCCCAAGCTCGTAGTTTCTGGGTATCGCCCTTGTGTTTTTACTGCATTACTGTTTCAGATTGCTAGAACTGTCAACTCCTTTTGTCTGTTGAGAAGCCCATAACATTAAGTTGCATGGAGATTAACTCCCTCCTTCCCAGTGTGTGCGCGCGTGGGTTTGAACGCTTGTGGGTCATTATCTTCGGATGTTGTTATTATGTGTTGCTTTGATTTTTATAGTGTTTATTCCATATTGAGCATTCTTTTTTCTTCCCATCCTTTCAGTTTCTTGAGAGCATAGTTCTTTTAGCTGTTCAATCCTTAAAGATTCTTGCAACATAGTACCTCTTTTGGACATGATCTTCAAGTGCATCTCTTAAAGCCCTTTAGTTTCTTTAGTATGCTTGGCCTTAATTGGGAACTCATTATTTCCAGCACACCTTCAAGGAAGCCTTTCTTTAAATCGGAATCTGTATTACTATGTAACAGGAAGTTAGTTTCATTGTTGTATATCTGGTTGGCGAGGTCATTTGACTTATGCCACATTTGAGCGCATATTTCCATGCGAAATTTTATTTTTTGGTATCAAATTGATTTTTCTGCAAGCTCTACTCTCTCTACATGATCTGCACCTTTTGCCTAATTCTGCTATCATCACCACATGATTTTCATATGTGTACTCAAAAAGGCAAGCCTGTTCATCCTCAGTTATTTTGTTTCTAGGATTGAAGTGGGTTTGCTTTCTAAGTAGGGTGTTCCAAAATATCATACTATTTAGAAAGGTACAATTACACATTCTTTAGTATAAAAAGCATTCTGAATTAGATTAGTAGGCTATTAGCAATACCTAGCAAAACTGGATATAATCTTGTACAGGGAAGTTGATATGAGCCTTATGGCCCTTATCTGGTTGATGAGTGAATGGTACGTATTCAGAAAGCCAGTATATGGAAGTATAAGACCATTACTTAGCTTTCTACCCAAAAGGGACCTTGGTTATCAAAAGTAAAAATGTACAGCCAAAATGAGTCAAGACGTTTTTATTTTGGTATACCTATTCCTGTGGATGCTTCTGTTCCATAGTCATTCCCAATTTTGATGGGGACGAGTTAATTTCCTTTTTTTTATTTTCCCTTCCGTTTTTTGATGTTCATTATTCTTTACTCGAATTGAAAATGTTCTTGTTTATCCGTTCTTGCTTGATTCAGTCTATAGATCTTATTTCTTTTCATTGTTCCATTAGTCAATTTTCTTTTTCTCAGGAGAGTATGTTATTACTGCAAAGTTGTGTTCCGGTAAAACCTAACCATATATTAAGCATGTTGTTGGCCTTACTCCAAGGTAAGCTGAAGACCCATCTCCTATGTGAAGTTTGTAAGTTTAATTAGCGTGTGATATTTATCATACTGTATTATGGCCCGTAATTAATTTAATATAAATAACAAAGTATTATGATATGTGAATTCTAAAGTGTGTTTAGACAGTGCATTATGTGATGCAAGTCAGTTCCTTTGAGGCGGATGTGATAAACGAATCTGACTGATTGTGTGTGTACACCTTACAATTAAATCTGTTCTTTGCTAGACATCTTGTGCGATGATGTTCCTGCACCATTACCAAGCTATATAACTGCTTTTCTACTTTTTTCTTGCCAAGTTTACCCAGCTTTGTATGTATTGTTCAGCTCTGATGCTCACTCTGTTCCGTCTCAGGTAATGGTCATCGTGCAGCCAGATCGCTGGTCCTGGTCTTTTTGTATCTTGTTTGTCAGACTTTTATGAACGGTCATCCAGCCAGCAGATTTTGCGGTGTATGAGAGATTTCATGGGCAGGCCGCTCGACATTTATATTGAGCGACTCTGCGGCCAGCAAGGAGATTCCATGGTCTAGCCTCTTAACATGTATAGAAGTTGTTTTGGGGGCGAGTTGATCGAGTGACTGGTGCAGCTTTGAGTGAAAACATCGAGACTGTACTGGTACTTAATGCCAGGAGAATGTCCTTGAAATGATGGGTTCTGTAGTATCCATGTGATATTTTTGGGGTTCATTTGTGAATATAGATAGTAGAAAGGTGATGTGGGTACTCTGATCCGCCATTATCATTGTATTTATCGTTTGCATATTGCATTTTTTTAGGTCTCAGGTGGCCTTTCTAGTTTCATTTTGCTTCGCTTGTAGGTCTGTCCAAATCTGTCGTAAAGCGTGCTATTTAGACTTGATTTTTTTCCGACGGTTTGTCGTCGGTCAATATGATTACGCTGGTAGTGGTGAATGAGTGGGCGCAGGCTCCGGTCAGTTTTCGATCTCTATGTTGACGGTGGGTTCTTTGATATTATTGTTGTATTTTTACATAATAATAATCCAGAGGTGAAGTTGGAATTTAATTGCGGGTAAATTACCAGATAGATATTCCATTTTTTCCAACTCGACCCTTCTTTCTGGCAGGATATTTAAGCTTTAGCCTCAATATGATATTTTAACTTGTGCATGCTATATTAACTTGCGCGGCCGAGGACAGTAAGGTCATTCTCCATTGAGCTGCCTTTTTTTTTTGGAAAATTTATTCCAATTCCCTACCTACCAAAATTGTTAATTCTATACGTGTTTCTCAATAAACCTTCTCCACTTCAAATTTATTTCAAACCTTATCAGACCCTCCTTCACGCTTTCTTTTCTAGTCATCAACGGTGCCCTCTCTTTCTCCTTAAAACTCTCCCAATTCAAACCTTAACCCTAATTTAACATCGGTATTGACTTGGATGAATGTCGTAGGGGTTGGATCAGAATTTAGATTTGTATTAGGAGAGGTCGGAGGAAGAGGGACTTGAAGGAGGATCTCATTGGATTTATTATTCAATAATAATATTTGAGCAATGATTATAGGCAATGGCTTTTTTCTTTTTTATTCGACCGGGTAAAGACTCGAAGGTGAGGAAGTACTGGAACTCCTTTCAATGTAGGAAGGAGAGAACAAGAAGAAGAAGAATACATAGTCGCAAGATTCTTGCTTTTCAGGTGGTTGTTTGTGTGGTTTCAGAGTTGATCGGTAGCGAGTGAGATGTGCAGAGGGGTGCACAGCTAGTGCATGTTTATAAGGTGTAGTGAATCTCACGACTATGTATTCTTCTTCTTGTTTAGTTTCCCCCCTTTTGTGTAGAAATTGCAGTTCATAGAGCGTTTTCAAAACATAGCTTGAAGTAGATGGCGATTATGGGCAATTGATTTCAACAAGCGCCGTCAGAAACTGAAATGAATATTGTTAATTGGGCTACAGAAAAATGTCACACTAGAAGTTTTGGTGGAGCCGTCGGCTTTAAAATGGACAAATTTTCAAAACAAACTCTCTTGCAAATTTATTCCCAAAAAACAACACATTTCTCTCTTATTTGTAAAAACCGACCTGGTTTCAGCCTCAGCGCTGAAACCAGGTCAGTTTTTACAAAAAAAGTTCCAAAACTTCACGGGAGTTAGAACTCCCATGAAGTTTAAAAAACTGCTAAACGTTCAACTCCCGTGAAGTTTCACAGTTTAAAAAATTTGTTTTTTAACTAAAAAACTTCACGGGAATTCAACTCTCGTGAACTTTAGCAGCTTAATTAAAAACTACTAAACTTCACAAGAGTTCAACTCCCGTGAAATTTCGGAAATTTTTTTGTAAAACCGACCTGGTGTCAGCACCGAGGCTAAAACCAGGTCAGTTTTTACAAATAAAAATTAAAGGGGTCGTTTTTTGGGAATAAAATTGTAAAAGTGATTGTTTTGAAAATTTGTCCTCTTTAAAATGGTATTAGAACTCAACATCCTGGATCCACTGAGAAAAAAAATAAGAAATAAAAAAAGGAAAAAAAAACACTGTAAAGAAAAGCCATTCCCAACATTAGAAGAAATATCAAGAGCCCTAAACACTATAGCGTGACCAGTGCCGGGAGTATAAGAAATGAAGTGATAAAGAGACGACAAGTTTTTCACAGTTTTCTACCCCTTCCAAGCTCCAATCGCTAAAAGTAAATCACATTATGTGATATAGCTCATCGCAAGTAAAAAAGAAGGAAGCTCAGCACCTTCCAACGTCATAACATGGCACGTAACCTTCACCGTGCTCAGACCAAAGAATCAGAACAACATAAACTTGTTGATTCCTGTTGAAAACTACAAAATCAGAACATAAACTTGTTGATTCCAGTTGAAAACTACGACGAGTCAAAACGATACTAAGAAAACAACCGGATGTTTACAAAACTTTAACAGTAACTGAGAAAGCTTCAACTAGCACACTAGTTTTTGGAGCAGATTATAGTGTGATAGAAAATGTCTTTGCACAAACTTTGGCCATGTCCTGCTCTAAATTTAACTTGAAGTTTACAAAAGACTTGTTCTCAAGACTCACATACTCAGTATCAGGGCAAGCTGGAAAAAGGATTCACTACAGTTATCAGCATGGCTTGGAACCGTGAAACCTGCCAAAAAAAGGATGGATATGATCAGATGATAAGAGAAAGGAACCTATAAACTACAGGTCAAGAAGAGGCAAAACCTCAAGCTCTCTTCTCGTGGAACGAAGCTTAATACAGATGACGCCTGTTGTGACGGGAGAAAAAAAAAGAAATGGAATTAGAATTTAAAAAAAAAAGAGAAACAACAACAGAAAATTCCAAATTTCAGTATGTCCACATTTGATTCTCAGCTAATAATTCAGTATGTCCACATTTAATTCTCTGCTAACAACAGTCCAGAGTTATTTTACTTTAAAAAAACTACTAATAATAAAACTCAATAAAATCATTATGCCCACATTACATTATCAGCTAAATAGCAGTCTATTATGTTTACCATAACATCAATAAACAAAATGCGTGACAGGCTTCTTCCTTGATAAGCTCCTCCATTCTGCAATTACCTTGACCAGAAATACAAATACTGCTCCAGCATCCAAATTATGTCCGCTTCGATATAAATGAATAACACAAAAGACAGGCCACAGATTATTTGCCAGAAATCAGGTCTAAGATCTTTGCAGATACGTTTTATTATTTTCTTATAAAATTTTGACATATCTAAACAATGAATCAGCAACCTAACATGCGGTGGAAAACATAATCAACTAATAGAAGGACAAATTTTGAAAACCATCCTATTTGAGAAAATAATTGCAAAAAACGACCCATTCACAAAATATTTGTGAAAACCGACCCAATTTCAGCCATCGGGCTGAAACTGGGTCGGTTTTGAAGAAAAATCTTCTGAAACTTCACGGGACTTCCAAGTTCCGTGAAGTTTTTTGTACATTACAAAACTTCACGGGACTTGAAGTCCTGTGAAGTTTCAGAACATATTTTGTCAAAACCGACACAGTTTCAGCCAGACAGACGGCCAGACAGTTGAAACTAGGTCGGTTTTGACAATTTTTTTTAGAATAGGTCGGAATTTGTGATTTTTTTTGTAAATAGGATGGTTTTCAAAATATGTCCCTAATAGAATGATCTGCACATATAGCTAAGAGTCCTAGCAAGATAAAGTTTTCTTAATGGTATTACATGAGTTTGAATAATCAGATTTAGAATTAACTGCAGATGCACGTTCTCTATCTGTTTTGGTTCTAAATTGAATTGCAACAGGGGATTTGCAAGAAGAACGCTACGTCCTGCCTCCGCCGACGACTTGGCTTTCGCCAGTGACGCAGCTTTCTTGTCATGGGAGTGGGCTTGCTTGGAGAGTTAATTTGTCAGAGAGAGAAGAGCAAACGCAAGGCTTTTGGATTTTTTTAAATGGGTTGTCTTTATAATTACGATGTACTTAAGTTATTTTGCTGATTTTTAGAAAACAATTAAAATAGGGTATCAAGGTAATTTCACCTCAAAATCTGTTATAATTTTAACAGCTATGCTTGGGATAAATTTGAGGAAAGAAAACAATTTAAGGGGTAAATTTAGAATTATAAATATTTGAGAGGCAAATTTAGAAATGCATATAATTTAGAGAGTATATATCGAAAAAAATCCATTATAATATAACAATTGATACATTTTAGACACTACCTGTGACGATCCTGATCTCTTGTGCGATCCCTTGATTGAGAACGTGATCTACGCCGGCTCCTTGAATCATAACTGTAGGATCGACCTCCATCCCTTTCACGGCCTCTATCGCTGTAGCGTCTCCACCTCCACCTCTATCTCCATCTCGGTCTCTGCTTGCTGCTCTATCACTATCCCGACTTCGTTCAACTGACCTACATGATCAAGGTACAATTTTATGATTATATAAGTTTTGAAAAGAAGAAATGTGGCATACTTTACATCCCACTGGAAATAGACTGGCTAGTTGAGCAGAGAACCTTCTATCATCACCAGATCGATCTCTCTTTCGGCTTTTAGTCCTCTCCTCCTGAACAATTTATTATAGACATTATGTTCTGATTAAGAACTACTATCACATAAATATATCATAAGCAATACCAAAATCTTCCAAATATTACATGCATCGGAGCAGCTAAAGAAATTAAACAGAATAGAAGCAAAGCTCGACAATGTTACCCTCGACAGCTGCATAAAAGTAAAATTGCATGTCGACAAAACAATAAAAACACACGAACAAATTGCATGTTTCCAAACAGAAGGTAAAATTCCTTTTTTAAGTTTGAATTCTATGGATATCCTAACAGCCTACTGTTAAGGATATGGATTTCTTACATGCATGAAACATGATTTTTACTAGTCTGGTTATAAACAAATGTAATTAGGACTAATGAATTAGAATTGATCCATATGCCTCACCCGCCTTTGTAAGTTCGCATTATTTTCAATCATGTTAGACGTTATTGATAAGTAGAGCGCTGAAGCTTTGCAACCGCTTAACATCATGCATTTATGATAATCTCAACTTGCTAGAAATCAGTAGCTCTAAAACATAACCAAAACTTTCTATCCACAATGGGAAACATTTTACGAACAGACTAACTGTTGAATTGAGAACCCAACTTCCAGCGGCTTGCCATGGATGCAAGAATAGGCTCAGTGTTTTCAATGCGCGATGCGCAATGCGGGGCGCAAAGCATCTTTACGCGCACATGCGCAAGGCGTAACGCGATGCGCGCGCCCGAGTGATGCGAGGCGCAAACCACACATATAATATTTCAATATATGTAATCAAGCGCGAAAGAACATGTTTTTAGAATTTACATGAAAAATATCATGATAAATAATATTTTGCTACAAAATCACAATATATTGCCTTAATTTCTAATGCTAACACCCAACATAGTAGCAAATTTCATAAATTTTCAAATCAAATGTTAAATCAAGACTTATATCCAAACTAAGGATTAGTAATGGTCCTCAATTGAAGGTTATTAAAAAAGCCCAATGGATTTATTTTGCTTTTTGGGATATGGAATATCAAGTATAAAGATTTGATTGAAATGTTAACAAACAAAACTATATGAGGAAATGTACTACATGCATCCTACACAAAGTACAGACGTACGCGAGGCGCAAAAAGCGTTGCTGCATCAGGTGTGGGGCGCTTCGCCACCGCCCCGCATCGTAAGGCGCATGAGGCGCAATGAGGCGCGCGCCTTTAAAAACACTGAATAGGCTCAATTATAACTAACTATTACAGCATGCTAAATTTTCAATTGCATTTTTTTATCTGCTGATGTACAACTCAACCATCTTAAGCCATAGCTGGTGAATATGTAAGAACGTTAAACTGGTACAAACGAGAAAAATTGTAAAATTTTACCTGCATTTCTGCTAATTTCTCCCGAATCTGCATATAGCCTAAGTGAAGCTTCCCTCCAAAATGATCTGCCAAACGACGATCACTGTGCACCACAGAACAATCAAAGAAACTAGTTTGCTAGAAAAGAAATCATAATTCTTCTATTCAATCTCTCAAAGGATTAGTTAATTCTGTGACCCCAAAACTTCTAGCAATTAAAACCACAAGCATAAAACAGAAAAACACGCACATTCTTTAGCTGCAAAAGTTTTCCTCGTAAAACTGGGCCCAAAAGCCTGCTGGTAACAAGGAGGTATAATGCGCCCGTCAAAAGCTGAAGTATTTGAAACCCCTATTACTAGTCTTTTTTCTTGCTTGCAATTTCTTGTATTTAACCAAAGTTATAGAAAGGGAAATGTGAATTATTTTACCTGTCATAGACACTCAAGAAAGCTCCACATATGTCACATACGCGTAACTTCTGATCAGTCTACAAAATGATTTGGAAAAAAGAATTAGTACTGAGATACTCCGTCTCATGTGCAAACTAGCATGACAAGCAAAAGACAGCCACTTAGACAAGAAGCTATGAACGGCGACATGCTTTTATATGCAAACAACAAATAATGAGATTAACCTTCTATATTAGTACTAAAATATGTTTTTTAATTGTTTCAGACGTCTAATTTGTAACAAACTCCATCTACCAATCTATCTCATCAGACATCTTACAATTTTAACCTATTGCAGCTTAACATACTAACAATGGTAAAACCAAATGCTGTCAATTTGTTTTCATTTTTGAATTTATGATGGCTATTTGCCTTGGTGACTGTATGATGTAATAAAATAATGGATCAAATGCTAAAACTTACAATTCGCACATCTACAGCAGTATACTTTGAGGAGTCTTGAACTGGATCCTGCCGTGCACCTAACTGCAGAAAGAAATTGTACGAGTACATCACATCACAGCATCTAGAAGGTCAGAAGAAAGTAAAAGGGAAATCCTAATAAAATTATTAGTTTCTTAACATAGAAAATTTGACTAGATGAGACCTCGGTCCTCAATACAGAACATTATTATTATAAGCTAATGGGCAAAATGACAGGGCATCTCAAAAAAAAAAAAAGACACGGCATCTCAAATGAAAAGAATATAACCTTTCTAAGAGCTTCAGCCTCTTCCAATGCCTTCTGAGCCTCATCTATCATACCTTTTTCACCTGTACATAAGGAAATTAAATCCTTAAGCAACAATAGTACATGATTGAGCAACAATCTAAGTTGTATGGAAACAGGTACGGGTACAGGTGCAGATACGGGGTATAGCAAATTTGTAAATTGTAGGGTACAGAGACACTGTTACATATATATGGAAAATAATAATTCACAGATCATTATTTTTTTCCAGTTAATGTATAATTAAAATTAAAGCTTGTCACATTTTTAAGTTTCTTTTATTATGTTGGTTATTATAAATTGGAAACCACTTCTTTTAAAATTAGACACTCAAATGACCTTTTAAAATCATAGTTTTGAACTTGGGTACGGGCTGAAACAAACCCGAACCATGTCTAATGAGTTGAAGAATGGATGTGCATGTCCAAGAAGTGTATGACAAGCGTATTAAATTAATACACATCATATAATTGAGCACATGTCTGAAAAAATGTGTGCATATATCCAGGGAGTGTCCCATGAAGTTTGGGTACAAGAACATGTCGGGTACGGGTACAACTTCATGATAGAAGTACGCAGTTAACATAGGCAACAGTGGAAAAAGTATGCCACCATTTTATTTTATTAAACATATGGACAGCTACATTCAGATTTGATGTTGAAATTATCCTTTTAAAAGACATAACCAGTAAACTAACCAGTACACTCTCAGGGAAGCTTCTTAAGGCTAGGCCATCACGACCAAGCTGACACCAGGAAACTACGAACCTAAACAGAAATAGTAAGAGTTCAAATTAAGTTGTCAATTTGTCAACATGTGAAAGATAACCCGGGGGCGGTAAAAGACAATTGGACCTACCCCAATACTGATAACAGCTTGATATATGTACATGAACTTAACTTCGATAAACTTTCTGAAATTGACTATATATTTCTAAATAAGATGGTAGGACAAATACCAAAAGAAAAGGCAAAGACTCAAATTGAAATGATCATAGGCAACCAAGTAAACCAGAAGTACATACTATATAGAAATTACAGAACTAAGAGAGTAAGGGTACCCAAAAAGGACCAACTGTAGATTATCTTTTAAGATGAAATGCTCATACCAAGATCTTCTGCCTTCTTCAGCTTCTCATTAATCATTTCCTGTGTACGAGGATCTGGAGGAACAAGAGCTGGCAAAGGTGCTAACTGAGGAGGATTCTGGAGAGGTTGTGGTAAAGAAGCTCTGTCTTTGTTAAAAGCATCAAGAAGAAGCATAGACTGCAGCAAGGATAAGTATGAAGCTGTTACATTTAAATATCAGCAGGAAAAGTAAAACCAATCAGAAAGACACAAGATGCAAACTGGTAATGTCAATTTTACCTGTTTATCAGCTCTCTTCACTCTGAGCTCTTCTAGTTCTTCAATGGCCCGAATTTTACTGTCAGTTTCGCCTTCCAAATCTGAAAGATATACATCAGACATGATTATCATCAACTTTAGTGCCTTTCAGGTGAAAACTCAAAAGTTGCTAAATTAATTACAAAAAATGGAGCAACGGGTGACAAGATACAAGTATAATGAGGCCCAGAACAAGCTGCGACATGATTATGACAGCAGGCGGACACAAACATGATCAGCTTACCTTGGTAGTAACCTTATTCTTTAAGCTCACAGATTTGTTGTCACTTCTATAAAAACATGATCAGCTTACCTTGGTAGTAACCTTATTCTTTAAGCTCACAGATTTGTTGTCACTTCTATAAAAAGAAAAGGGTATTACCACACAGTGGCTCCACGATACAGGCATATAACTATTGCACATGAAATGGAAGTGTGTAGGATAATTTCACGAAGGCTTTCATTTGCTCTTTATCATCTTATGTTTCAGGCTTTCAGCTTAAAAGGCTGATTGGACAATCTGTTGAAGGACATTCCACATACTAATTTATAGATTTGGATCAGGCTCAAGATTCTTCGAAACAGATAGGGTAAAGTTGGTTTTGACAATGTAAAATCATGCTCGGTCATCTCTGACCTGATGGGCTGGTTCTCCACATCAAAAACAATAAATAACACAGGATATGCATTTACAGGTTCTTATCCGATCTCTAAGATCCTTCAAACACACTACGGTTACAGTTTTTATGCAATAATTGAATCAAATAAACTCTATCTTATCAAATACAGAGAAGAAACTTCATAATGCTTGCATATTCAGCAAATTCTTAAAGACTAGAAATTGAATAAAGCATCATTTGGTACTCAAACAAGAATGAATGATTATCTTGAGCGAAAAAGAAAATATGCCTTATCAATGTGCCTCTAGGTACAAAGGGGAAATTACATCACCCAGGTAGCGTCTACATGGATGCAAACATCAACATGTGCAATGATATTCATGTACCTCCAGAAAGGAACCTAAATAAGTACAATTTAGACAACACACAGAACATTGTTGTGAGCTTCACGACTGCCCACTCTCCCTTATCAAATGCAAAGAACTGGAGTTTGCTCTTCAGCTGTGGTTTAAAATGCTATGGACCTTAAAGACATAATATGAAGCAGCAAAGGACCTATATTGTTTTATATATACTTTCCACTCAAACTAACTTCTTTGTGCAACCATAAACCATAACATGCAGTATAATGCAAAACCAGAAGCAATGTGAAAGTTTTGGTAGTCATGATAAATAAGTACCCTCCCTCTTTCTCACTCTCTTGTGTGTTTGTGAGTATGATTATTAATGGTAATTGTAAAATGACATGCAATCTGATAAGACCATGAAGATGAGACATGGATAGAAGGGAAAATGTCAAGAAAAGGGAAGGGGTGTAGTCCATCTTACAGAGCAGCAGAGCAAGAGATCATAAGGATATCTATTACTAAGCACACAACAAAAGTATAACATTTGAAAACAGAACAAAGGCAATCACGATGAACTACCATACTTATTCACTGACAACAAAGTCAAATCAGAAATTGCATGATTCCAAGAGAATAAGAAAAATACAATATCTGAAAAGGCTAAGAAAATACCAAAAGCATCAACTTGTTTCAATTTCTCCTTGATCTGTTTTGACAACTCCGTTATCTCAGGTGACTGTATTTTCAAAATGAAAATTGTCATTTCTAAAGCTATGCAAGTATAGTAACCTGAAAACTGAAGCAGATAAGGGCAACGAATAGAGTTCAAGTACCTGGGTAACCTCAGATACAGATATTGCAACAGCAGCCTTAGCATCTGCCTCCTCCAAACGCTTGACGGCTCTTTGAATTTTTCTTTCACACTCAACAATTAGTCTGTCAATTACATCCTCCAATTCTCTGTCAAAATTATGACCCCCTTTTGCTTTGGCTTCTTCATATCTGTTGACTGTTAAGGAAGAATAATATGCTATAAACTAAAGGGAATATCACTCCACAAGAGGAGTTATTAGGGGCATATAGGCATGAGCGATGAAATTAGCACCTAGTTTCAGGATTTAGAAAGTTTCCAGTAATAATGTTTATGAAAATCAGGTATAACTAAAGGGGTCATTAAGAGACCAAGTTCACATGGACCTGAAAGACAAATCTAACTTCTAAGCAACAATTAAAGGATACAACCTTACCCGTTTTCCCCATTGGATAGGGAAAATCTCAACAAAATAACCATAGCTTCATAGGTTAGCTGATCTGCTTCAACCCTTTTCCCTACCCAACGAATATATGATGATGAAGCAAACTAATCTCATTATCAGTATCATAGTACATTCCACATATCATACTATATATGTATTCTCTGAACAAGGTTACAGAAAGCACCCCTAGGCGGTTTTCTTGTATATTTTTAAGTATCAATAATTAATAATAAATGTCAATATTATAGAAAGCACTAGGTACAGCTACGCACCGGATTGCCGCCTAGCGCCTAGGCAGATTTCTTTTTTTTGTTTAAGTGGTGGTGGAAAAGGTTTTTCAAAGGTCAAAGGCGGAGGTGGTGTTCATAGTAGTGGAGACCGAATGAGTTCGGAGAGGTTGGAGGATGTGGATGCTGCAGCAGAGGAAATCACGACCAAAATCTAAGCAGTGCAGTCCGTGTAAGCGGTCCATGCTCGCCTAGGCGCTCCCAAGGCCTAGGTGGATGACTAGGTACCGCCCAAGACTAGGCGGATGCCTAGACGGGCTAGCAGCTAGCTTTTTAAAACATTGTCTCTAATGACAAGATTGACACCAATGGGTTTCAGTTTCCCTTGAGAAGTATCAGTTAGGGACTGCACATATAAATTCCATGTCGTGTGTATCATATAACTGTATCTAAGTGGGCGTATCAACATTTAGACTGCCTAGAAAATTCTCCTTAATATGATTTAAATTTCAAAGATAGTGTCTGAGTGGGAGGACTGGTGGAGACCAGTCCATGTTCAGACCGGACTATAGTGTTTGTTTAGGTTTAAAAAAAAGAACTTTTCTTCTACCACTTCTAGACCAAGAAACAGTGAATAGAGAGTTGAAATGGAGTCAGTAAAGTCTGACAGCATGGAAATAGATGGTGACACTTCTGTGAGAAGACATGTTGAGAGGTTCAAATAGTGATAGATTTCAGAGTTATTTGCACTCTAATACCTCAGATTTTCACCTCTTTTAACTTCTATAGCGGTATAGCCTGAGGTTTTATTCTGATAATTATTGATATTCGAAAGTGCAAAAAAGTTACCATCAGAATTGTTCAAGAATATGAACATAAAAAGCTAATCGAGAAACAATTTTTTTACCAACTTCCAATTTTTTTAGTTTGGGGAAGGTGAGGAACAAAACTAAGACTTTGGGTTTACCAAATTGTCAAATTAACATCAAATTAAAAAGTTGGGGATATCAAACTCCAAGGTATCAAATTATGACAAAATAGAACTTCAGAGTGTCAAAGTCAAAAAGAGGCTAAATTTTAGAATAGCAAAGTGATGGGAAAAACTTAGAAACATGAAAATGCGGAATTCGCCATCAAATACTGCCCGGGAATTTCGTCAAGTTTGAGGTATTCAGGCCAATATTTCGGGAAAAAACTTCCAATTTCTTTAGTTGCAAATTACAAATACATATATTCCTACATCCAAGTTCTACACATCAACAAATTCATAAAGATGTAAACATACTTCTCAGTATGATAACAAAGGATACTCCTTTCTCAACTGCAACGAGTGCACCTTCGAGCAAGGACCAAGATCCATCTTCTGTTAAACAACAAAAACCAAAACAATGACGTCAGCAACTTCATCAAAACTAGGGTTTATATCAAAAAAACCACACAACGCGATCGAGATCAACTCGAAAACCCTAATAAATTAGCTAGTTTTCGATCACTGACCGTCAGTTGGAAGAGATCGTGAGGGCAAAGCCCCGATAAGAACAAACGGCAGACGTCGCGATCGTAGTACTTGCGGTTCACCTCCGTTACGTCGCCGTTTCGATTGGCTCCCATAAGAGAATCGAGCTGCTTTCTAATGGCGTCCATCTCTAGGGTTAGGGTTTCGAGAACTATCTGCTCCTTGGAGGAGGAGGACGAGTATCAGGCTCTGAATCGACGCGAATCGGGGGTTAGCGATATCGAAGATACTTTTTATGAGTTCATTTGCATATTGGCCCTATATTTATTACGTATTACTTCCAAAGGGTAAAAAGCATTATAAATGGATATGTTTAAAATTAACCAATATCTAATGTAAATTATCTTTACTATTTACAAAAGAGAATATATGTATTGTTGTCTTGTTGATGTTCTAGTGATCATACAGTCAATTATGTCCGTGTTTGGACGAATTTGTTAAGGATTGATGAAGGGGCTACTTTCTTTCCTGACTTTATGTCTAGTTCTTGAATTGGGATATCTGAAAAATCTGCACAAGTAGAAATTCATAAGAGGGTGTGGTTTGGTTCTCTCGTTGTACCTCCGACGATCAAGTCAGATGATAAACTTGAGTGGGGGTAAATAAGAACTAAGAGTTTTTGTGCATGTGATTGCTTAAGACTTAGATTTAGAAATCAAGATTTCAGCCCTCTAAGGTAGAATAGTACCCGTATTTATACTAAGGTGACAAGGGTAAATTGGTCACTCTGATCGAGAGCAGAAAGGCGGTGGCGAACTACGGGCTGGCGGCCACGTCGGCATTTTCTTTATAGGTGTCGGCTAGCGGGTGGAGGGAATGTCGCTTCGGCATTAAATAGGAAGAGACTGGCGACATGGCAGAGCCCACGTGGTCCGATGAGTCATAAAGATTATTTGGGCTAAAGTCATGATGGCACCTGCCAAGCATTAAATGCGATGTTGACACGTTGTCATAGGGGGAGAAGCTCGAGACGAAAATAGTCCTTTAGCTTCGCCGAGAAGTAATGCCTTTCAAGTCGACATGGAGGGATGTCGACTCGACAAGTCAGCAGAGTTGTCGTCCCTATTGGTCTTTGGCCGCTAAGTGATCAAGTGGACTCAAGGCGAGTTGTCTTCGACAAAGGGGGCGACAAGTACCGCCTTTCAAGTCGACATGGAGGGATGTCAGCTCGACAAGTCTGCTGAGTTGTCGTCCCTATTGGTCTTTAGCCGCCAAGTTAATTAGGGCATAGTATGCAAAAGTACACTTGTTCGTTGCTTGGCACTGAATTGCACTTTGATGAAATGGGAACACCATAAAAGGTGGAAAAACTTTTGATTTCTCAAAATATTCTTCAAAATTCATCCGAATCACTATATTGCAATCAAATTCAATTTCTTTCTATTATTTTATTTCTCTTTTTTTAATGAAGTTAAGATATTAGTTTTGATATTACGAGTACAATTAATGATAAATTAACTCATAGTAGAGAAAACCGAGCATTGTGCAACTAGGCTATACTCTGTCTCGTAAATTTCTAATTTTTTTTCTTGCATTTTTTTTTACTAACTATAAAGTGAGACATCCTATTGTTGAACTAGAATAATTAATATTGTTGTCAATTTTTTAGTATTATTATTGGATTATTATTTGAATGGTTTACCAAACCTGTTTCCTGTTCTTCATATGCAAGTAATAGGTAATGAGAAGAAAATAAAAAAAATAAAGTATCAGCTTAAACTAGCGACCACGCTGATGTTGCGCGCAGCGGAAATTTCGGCAGCACTTCGGCAGCACAACAAGAGAGTCAGGTCGCAATAAGAATTCTTGTTTCTCAAAGGAAACAAGAATCTGAAGCCTATATCCTATCAAAGTAGGATATTAGCTCTTCCTCTCGTCAGCTCTAGGACTGCGCGTCGAGGGACCCTAAAAGCTATTACAAATCACACAAAAGCAGTACAACCAATTTTAACGTGGTTCGGCAAATTGCCTACGTCCACGGGGCAAGGAGGGGGGAGATATACTAATAGAGGGAGAGAATACAACTAGGGTTTACAATCACTCACAATCTAAACCCTCAAACAAACTCTCTCAAATCCCTCACAAATATCTCTCCTCAAACAAACTCTCTCAAATCCCTCACACAATATCTCTCAACAAAAGGGAATAAAAGGACTGCACAAACTCTTCTCAGAAACCAGTCCCAATTCTCCACCTGCTGCAGCCGCAAACCAAAGAAAGAACTCCTGCAGGAAGTCTTTCGCCGCCGCAAAAACAATTACCTCCGCCCTTCTTTGCTTACCTAAAAAAAACTAATAAACTATTGTTTATATAGGATGCAAACCGCGTTCACAATTTCGTGGGCCGGCTTCGTTCACAATTCCACGCGGAAACAAACCGCGTTCTAATTCTTCACGTGGTGGTGGCCCACGTTCACAATTCTCCACCTCGGTGAAGTTTTTTCAAAACTGAGCCGATACCAAAGCAATCAAATGTCCCACTTGTTGTGCCCAGTACGAACGCAATCCATAACAAGTCAAGAACCTGAACGAGAGTCCAAACAATCTCACCCCCAACAACTAATCCAAACCGGCTGCATACTTAGCCGCTCAACGGTGTGGTGCACCGGCGGGGAAAGAACCTCAACGAGGTGGGTGCGCCCTCGGCATAGATGTGCGGCGTCACTACACATTTCTTAGCATTGTGCGGGCCTTTATGGCCAGATTACCAGCAAGCAAGAGTCGCAGCTTCATTTCTGTTAGTGCTTGCCACAGAAGGTGCTGAATTCGGTGCTTAAGAACAACCACCTTCAGATGATCCAGTTCTATAAGCAGCCTGCGGATTAATCTTCGTGAATCAGCCTTGTTAACTGTCCCGAAGGGTCAGAATCGGATTCGCAGACAGCTTCCGGTCGGCTCTCGAGATTCTGAAACAATAATAGTCAGCCGAATGTGCTGTCTTTTATTAAACCTCCAGTACCTTCTTACTCTTTACTTCATCTGGGCTATCGCTATTGGTAGTGACAAGTTAATCCAGAGTATGTCATAAGCAGGAGAGCGCCTTTTTCTTCATGAGTTGACGATTGTTGGGAAAATTTCTTTGATAGGGAGTATTTCCCAATGCAGTCCAGATACTATTGCATCATTTCGGGGCGGAAGCCTAACTCGCTTACTTAGTAACGAATGTATTGGCCTCGTATATTAAGACTCAAACAAAGCAGGGAAATGATCTACACTGATGGAAGACCATGCATGCTGGCTCGGATCGGAGCATATATCCAAATCCTTACTCTTGATTCCCAACGATTGAGTACATACTTTGGTCATCCTAGCCCCATTGTCGGAGAGAATGAACCCATCATAACAATCTAAATTTATTGGATGGGGGTTCTCGCCAACCGAGCGAGCCATTCTTTACTGTATTGGCCCTGATCATCTCAGTCAATTGTGGGGCCGCTATCTGCGTCCAAATATCCCTGGTGAAGGCACTGACATACTATTACCTTGCCGATGGAGCCAGAAGGCTGACATCTTTGCCATATAAATCACAGATGGATTAATGCTCATGGTTTCTGTTAGATTGCCACGTCATTTTCTTCGAAACAGCAGATTCCTTAATTGGCAGAATTGAATATTGACGAGGAATGGAGGAAGAAATAGAAAGCACCTTCATGCTCAGGTCAACCAAATTTCAGGGCCACTGCAGAGATTGTCTGGATTTCTATACGAATCTCGAACAGATAGTCAGGCTTCTTAACGGTTCGTAGAAATCTCTAGTTTGGACGTTAAGGTGTGAGTCCGTCAGCAAAGCGCGCAAAGTGCACGACCTCCCGTCACGAATCAACTCTGGAATACTATTATCACAGTCTTCACTAAATGGCCGAGCTCTTCTAACCAAAAAAGTCGCCGCGAAAGGAGGCGTGAATGAGTACCACTTGGCCTGGGTCCTCTCTATCAGACGCAAGGCCCAAGCGGAAAGGGGACTACGAAAGAAAAGTTGCGAATAACTAGTGACAAAAGGCTAACAGATACAGAAAACTCGCACTAAGTAAGCCCACAGCGATTAGTTGGTTGTCGCGCGTTCACCGCGGCAGTATACGCTGTCGCAGTTCCAGGCGCGACAGTACGAGCTCGCGGTAACTGAATGGCACCCTTGTTTTCGGAAACAAGGGTTTGAGCCAAATTGTATTTTGGCCGTGGTACACATCTTGATGAACAAGATATGTAGTTTTTTTAGTATCAATCCCCTGATGGGGATGTCAACTCTTCCGGATAAACCTCAAATGGAGGCAAGCCGGGTTATACGAGCCAAAAAAACATCATTTGGATAGAAAGAAGTTGGAAAGCTCCTCCGAACGATGCCACGGCAGCCTCAACTCATCAGACGCTGTGCTGCAGATTTCCCTTGGCGACCTGGATTTCTTTGCGGAACAATGGTGAATCAACCTAAGAACAAGGAAATTAGGGTTTAGAGATGAGAATCTCGAATTAATAGCAGCAAACAAAAATCAGAGATGGGCTCGGGTTTTACCGAGATAGAAGGCAATCGAACTCGAAAGATGAGGACATTTGAGAAAAGGATCAACCCTAGATTTGTTCGAGCATGAAATACCCAAATATGAAGGTGGAAGAGCGCGGAAAAGCCAGAAGACCTCTTTAATAGGGTGTTTGAAGAGGTTTCGAATCTCAAAAAGCGGAAAGTGACCGACCAGAAGCCAACATCAAGTTTTAAATTGGACTGGCCGAAGCGCTGCCGGACTCGACATGTCGCGCTCGAGCGCGTACAGTCTATGATTGTCCGCTCGAGCGCGACAGTCTATGTTCTAGTGCTCAGAGCGCGACAGTAGAGCTTGCCGCGGCAGTTCATTCTGACACGCGAGGGCAAAACTTTGTTTTGCCCATACACAATATCCCTTGGGTGTTGACAAACATAGCATCTCCCTCTGTATTGGAATAGATCTCGGAACTCCGATGAGTATATGAGTATAACTGATTCCTTGAACTCCAAAGGGTTATAGGTTAACTTTTCCCAAACACTCCAATGAGATATGAGTATAAACTATTTTCTCTTTTCAACAACGTTCTGATTCAGATTTCGACAACGGCGCGTAACGCAGTACGCGGAGGAATTTTGTTCTACAAAGCCTGGT